GCAAAAGTGTAATGAATGCGCCTCAGGCTGAAGGAAATGTAAATGTACGTCCGTACAGTAGAATGCAGAAGAAGACATTTCAACACACTTCAGCAATAAACAAAGACACACAAATGTTTGTCTAGAGTAATTTGTGGTTATTAGTACGGTTGAACTGGATCATCGAAAGTCAGAAGCAAAGACATTGTTTAATAGAATGGGATTAAATACATAAAGGATATTTGTGTTGTTTAACATTTAATTATTGCAGGTATGCGTTATATTCTGAGTTGCATTATTCTTATTCATTTTGAGGAATACTGAATCTGTGAGTGAGATGAATTAATGCATATTCATATTTATTTTAGAACTACAGTAACATCTGATTTCTCTCAACATGGGGACACCAGAGCTGTCAATCAATACATTGGAAGAAAAAAAAGTAACTTGCGTTACTTATTTGAAAAAGTAACTCAGATATTCTTTTACTTTACTTTACTGTCATTTAGCAGACACTTTTATCCAAAGCGACTTACAAATAAGAAAAAATAATTAAAACTAAAAGCTAAAACTCTATAAATACTATATATATACACACATTTAAGAAAATAAAAGAAATTAAATAAAAATGACAAATGCATACAACAACATTTCAAAACTAAAACATTTAAATGAAAACAAAAAAATAAAGCTAAAAACAATTCAAAAATATTAAAAGAACAAAAGGTATGAGTATAATAATGATTCTAACATAACACTAAGCCAAACACCAAAAAACAACTACATGTGTATGTACAGCCACACACATATACATGTACATAAATACATTCAATATATATATATTATTTCATTTCCATTTTGTATGTTGAAGTACTGAAATAACTCAAAATAAATCAAAGTAAAACTTAATAAAAAAGCCTATATAGACATAATAAAAAAAAACAATAAAATGACAACATTACTACAACTGTAACGAAAACTGATATAGATAACTAATACAAATCAAACTACATTAGTTTATCAGTAATCCTAAAAAAAGAACACCGAGCCAAACACACATGCTAAAATAACAACTTACTGACACATAGTAAGAACTAGATTATAAAAAATATATATATATATTCTCTTGTGAATTAAAAAGTAATGCGTTACTTTACTAGTTACTTGAAAAAAAGTAATCTGATTACGTAACTTGCGTTACTTGTAATGCGTTACCCCCAACACTGGTAAAAACAACTGAGAACTGTCTGTGTTTTTGACAACAGTGTCAGAAAGCTGTTTATTTCAGGTGTTCTGACGATTTGTGTTACCCTGTCAGATTTTGCTACCTCCCATTAAAACAGAGCATAATTCGATAGCGAAAAGTGCTGCCTATCAGATTTTGCTTCCAGCATGATATTAATCAAGTGTGAGGCTTTATTAACATGTACACCTACCCCAACCCTAAACCTACCCTTACAGTAGGATAAATACAGTGTTGGTAACATAATCTGATAGGTAGCATTATTTGTCAGAACTCCGGCCCTGTTGCCTAGAGGGTCCCTTGCATGCCTAATAATGTGCACAGCGCACAAAACCGCTGGGATCTTGTAAACATAACTGTCCACAGCAGGCCACAGCTGAGGAGTGTTGAGAATGCTGAGCATTCCTGTGTTCAATGCTAGGGAGCACTACTCACATGAAGACTTTAAGTAAGAATCAGATCATTTAACTCTGCATAGATATGTCGCCTATAATTTAAAGCTTAAGCAGAGTTTCCCTTTCAGATGTTTCCATTCATGGTACTCCCTTTAAATGATTGTATATGAAATTCTGAGAATATTGGTTCACGTTAGAACAGCCATTATAGATCCACAATAAGAAAAGACAGAAGAACAAAAGTCTTTTATACAGTCTATGGTTAAGAAGCATTGTTTGAGCCAAGAAGCCTGAACTCTCAGCAGTGCAGCATTGCCCTCTTCTGTACAAACGACGAACAGAACGAAGTCATGGAAAACCAGGAAATGTCAGGGTTTTTATGTTAGTTTAGATTAATTTAGTTTAATTTATGTACGGAAAAAAAGTCATACATATTTTTCTACATAATTATATGCTCTTCTCTGACCGTTCATCAGCTAAATATTCCTTAAAACTTGCTTGCAATAACAAACCAATTTCCAATTAGGTGTGGATGATTCATTACCAAATCACTCAGAATTAGAATTATTTTTAATAAGTACCCAGCTAAAAAAAAAAAATTGTTCTAAGAACACTTTTCCAACGTTCCCATTAATATATGAAAACATTATTTCTGAATGTTCTTAATTCCATTTGGACGTCTTGCAAACAATGATACTTTTGAATGTTCTCTGATCATTCTGAAAAATTCAAAAAAAAAAAAATTAATTAAGACCAAATAAATATTCTATTAATGTTTCTGGAAGAACGTCTGCTCATAACTTTAAAAGAACCTTTCCAGAGCATTAGCCAAAGTTCTGAGAATATCACACTCACCAAACCAAAAAAAAAAAAGTTGAGTTTTTGGTCAGAAATTGTGGCAACCCTGTGATTTATAGATAAGTTATTTACATTTACATTTACATTTAGTCATTTAGCAGATGCTTTTATCCAAAGCGACTTACAATTGGGGGATACATAAAGCGATTCTTCTTAAAGAGGCAAACAGACACAAGAAGTGGTTGTAATACCAAGTTCTTAGACATTGTTCAAATAAGTACAAGCTGGAAAGAGAAGGAATAAATAAAGAGAGATACATTGGTTGAAATGAAAGATAGAGCTGTGTGTCATCAGCATAGCAATGGTAGGAGAAGCCATGTGCCTGTATGATGGGACCCAGTGATGTAGTGTATATGGAGAAGAGGAGGGGTCCAAGAACTGATCCCTGAGGAACCCCAGTGACAAGTTGATGTGCTTTGGATACCTCCCCTCCCCAAGACACCCTGAAAGACCTACCAGTGAGATAGGTTTCAAACCAGCAAAGTGGAATCCCTGTGATGCCCATTGAAGAGAGGGCAGACAGGAGGATCTGATGATTGACAGTGTCAAAAGCAGCAGAAAGATCCAGCAGAATAAGAACTGATGATTTGGAATCAGCTTTTGCAATCCGCAAAATGACAACATTACATCACAACATTGTACAACATTACAGTTTCATCTTAAAATGTAATTTAACAAATATACAGTAGATGCAACACAGACTCATAGAGAGTTTGCACAAAAGCATAAGGATGATTCAAAATTGTATTTTCAATTATATTAAATTTTTAATTCAATGGGTTTACACCGTACAGTCTATGGTTTACACATGTAAATAAGGACTGAATAAGGTTTAGTTAACTGCTGTGCTCCTGAACATATGAAAATATAATTCTCAAAATCTTTGAGCATCTTTTCAGATGAGGATGTCAAAGTTTATTAGAAACTCTATGATCTTTACATGCTCAGTACACCAATCGAGTGATTCTCAAGTATCAGTCAGTGGTACGACAACAAACATTAAGGTCTCAAATAATTCACCCCTGACGCTGCTTGTGTCTGGGGTGGGATTTGCAAAAAACAAACAGCCTTCCACGGCGGCGGACGAAAAAGCAGTCTTTACAGCGTCTTTTGAGAGCGGTTTTTGTCTTCATGCCAGCTGATGGTTGAACACACAGGAGCTGCTGGCATCGTCCAAGCAGAGGTGAGAGGAATGTCGCGCGTGGTTCCCACATTGGGTTGATGACTCCTCTGAATCGTGCCGTTGCCGCTGTGATGGTGGAGATGCATCTCTGTGCACCTGCTGCAGGTAAGGAGCCGAAAGCAGCACATCTGGCAACTTGGGACAACTGCCGAGTCAAGGAACCTACAAGACACGAGAGCAGCAGCGGTGCCATGCTCCCAACACCTAGTGAAGCAAAAAAATCACAACATTCAGGTGTATGACTGTAGTAGCTGAACATGTGAATTAATGTAAACGTGTACAAATTAAGAATCCAGAATCATTCAAACCAGCTTTACAGCTCTTTCCAGAAAGTCTTACGGTACTGACAAAATAACCATATTTCGCCATATTATCAAGTCAAGTCTGCTTTATTGTCAATTCTTCCACATGTACAGCACATGCACAGAGAATTGAAATTGCGTTACTCTCAGACCCTTGGTGCATACAGATAACTAACAGTAGAACATAAATACAGATATACAGATTAAATATAAAATACAACTATACAAATAAGGCAAAATGTAAAAAAATATTTAAAAAAAAAATATATATATATAAAGCAGCACAAGGCATTTGTCATTATCAGATCATTATCAGATATGAATTAAATGCAGTGTCTATATTATTTTCAGGTGCTGCTAGCTGCTAATATGATCTTCTTAAAATTAAAAAATGAAATAACATAATATATTTTAAATACTGTGGTTGTGATGCAGAAAATAATTACCTTCTGGATGAATTCCGTCTTTGATATAAAAAAAATATTCACAAAAATATGTCTTGTCTAATATATCTAATGGTGAATTGCTAAGCTAAGACTATATCTAATGGTGAACAAAGCTAAGAAACCTTATTTAAGAAGGTTTAGAAAAACTCTTTAAAAGATATTTTAATTTTTTTATTATTTTAAATCATCAGAGCTACATGCTACAATACTAATCTCATTTCCACATATATTAACTTACTGAGAGTCTATGTAGAAGGCTCCATTAATAATAATAATTATAATAATAACCTTCGCGCTAAGAGTACCGCTAGCTACGTTACCTAGCTTGCCAGACTGATACATTCTCTCCATCGGCATATGAATGTGTTCGTTTCAATACAGTGAGTACAGGCAGACATACACATGCATCACATACCTGTCTAAAATGCCACTAAAAACGCTTACATAAGCCAATTATTGAATCCAAAACCATCAATGTGAAGGCAACATGCTTCAGACGGACGGAAACTTCACGAGCTCCTGTCACGTAATAACTTTGAGGAAAGTCATAACGCGCGCATGCGCAGTACAATCACTGGATTCAAACTTCTGTATATAGATGGCTATTCTGTTACATAAAGTAACACGTGGGTGTTTTAAAGTTAAATAATCTATCGTAAATGGAACATGTTTTGAACGCACAAATATAGGAAATACAAATGAATTAAGTTGTTCTCGACCAGCAGGGGCCAGCAGAGAACTATCGTTTTCATGCACACAGCAACGCAAAGGCTGCTGGGTAATGATCACGGGCAAACATGGCAGCCACCCTTCCAAGGATCTTGTCCGTCGGTAAAACTACGAAGGGTTTGCTCAGTTGCTTGAGGCTGTCTGCAGTTCCAGCCCAGCAATACATGAATCTGTATTAATAGCAGTACTGTTAGATTGTGCATGTAGAGGCAGCTGAGTGATGAAGGATGCTGCTGCCTCTGTCAGTGTCTCGGTGGACTGGATTATTCCGTTTACTGCTTATTTGTTGCAGGTCTATAACCAAAATGATGTGAGAAGGGCTAGATTCATCGGCAGACAAAAAGAGGCCTAAACTATTTCAACACTGCATTGGGTGCACTAGAAGATAACCTTATTTAAATGAAAATAAACTAAAATATTGCCGTAGTTTGTTCACTCACGGATCTTTTCATATCTGATGCAGGTGAATGAGAACTTTGCAATCAGCTTGGCTGCTGAGGAGCCAGTGACATACCTAGAGTCAAGAGTGGTGTCCTGTGATGGAGGCGGAGGGGCTATCGGCCACCCCAGAGTTTACATCAACTCTTTTCTATAAGAACAGCTAATAAAATTCAAAAGATGAGAAAGGTAGATTATAACTTAGCAGCAGAAATTCATAATAAGGAATATTTCCCATCGGGTTGTAATTCCAGGAGGCATCTAAAATAAATGAACTGTTTTCAAAATGAAGGATGTGCAACCCAAGATCACATGATTATAAATGGCAGAAGTGACCATCAAATTGACTTGTGGAAGGGCCCTTTGTGCAGGGAGTTAGTCGCTTAATTTCTTTTGGAAACGAAAATAGTTCCCCGACCCCAAGCCCTTCTACGTTGCCTAAAGCAGGGGTGTCCAATCCTACTTCTGAAAGGCCAACGTCCTGCAGAGTTAAGCTCCAACACACTTGCATGGACGTTTCTAGTGAATCTGAAGACCTTGATTAACTGGTTCAGAGTTGGAGCTAAACAATCCCCTTGTCCAAATACCCACACGTGTGGTCTCGGCCACTTGAGAGCGCATGTGCGCGACAGGAAGTGCGCAAGACTGTCCAAGATCTTAAAAACGCCAAAGCGCAGTGCCCTTAACGCACACTAAATCCACACTATCTCGAATACCGCTCCGGAGCAGTTTTCAAGGCTTAGTGTATCCCATCATGCATCATGTTCTGGAAATAAATCGTGAGACTTTTTGCCGAGATCTCGCGAGAAGTCACGTAAACCTTTCCAATGTAAGTTAAATATTAATAATAGTTAGATATTACATATAATTTGGTAGTAAAACAAAGAGTTGCACGTTTTATTGTTGCAAATGAGTAGTGGTGATATTTATTTTGTACATTTGCAACTGCTTTTTTATCACTCAATCAGAAGCACCACAAAATTAAATTGTCATGTTATAGGGACTACTGAACATACATTTAGATGTTGATTTTAAAATGCAAAGCATTGGAAATAAAAATAAAGCATTTTGCATTTTTACAACATAAGTTTGTCCCATCAGGTAATGAAAAGTTCCACGCACACTTGTGGTCTTCATGCTCACTTGAACACTTGGACCAAATACAGGAAATACGTCATATAAGTAATCAAGTGCAAAGACCACAAGTGCGGGTATTTGGACAAGGCATCTGCAGGACAGTGGCCCTCAAGGAACAGGTTTGGACACCATTGGCATAAAGCATGGTTCAGCAACCTCTTGACATATTTGAAGTGCTTGATTCAGTTTAACTAATCAGATGTGCTGAAACATGTCTGTCTACTTGTTACTTGTAACATTATATATATTATAGCATCATGCATTCATTAATTCAACCTTTTCACAGGACAAAGAAACCAAATCTGGCACGTGTGGATACTGTGGGCTGCAGTTTAAGCAGAAGCATCATCACTGAAGAACTGTCTTTTGTCTGTGTGGGCTATACATTATTCACCTTTGAGGATATCTGATTCTATTGTCTGTACAATAAAATATTACTCTACTTAAAATTATGTACACCAACTTAAAATTACGGTTTTTAGTTCTTCTGTATAGGGACATTTTTTTCTCATGTATGCCTTTGTTTAACTTTAACTTTCACAGAATAATCTTTAGTCTTCATTTTCACAGTTGTCTTACAAATTCACACCCGAGCAGTGATTGGTTAACCGTGTTTCTATCGAAAATGCAGTGATTATTTTAATGATGTGCAGGACTTTAGGGCTATTCTTTTTTGCTCGAGCAAAATCAGCTGTAACACAACAACTGAAAAGTTATGCAAACAGCATATTTGTAAATAATTGTAAAAGACAGCATATAATAGTAATAATATGTAAAATGTAATTCTATGTACACACACACACACACATACATATATATATATATATATATATATGCACATGGTTTATTCCAGCATTCACAGACAGAGGGCGCACATGGTCTTTTCAATATGATATCAACCCTTAAGAATTAAAATGTAAATCAACTGGATGTGTAATGTCAGAATATTCTTTTGAAAAATTTTCAAATGATTTGGATGTTACCTTTTGCATTGGAAAATGTTTGGTGTAAGATTCGCTTCACCGTCAATTTATACACAAATGATTACAAAGAAACAGCAAGTAACACAGAATTAAACGTCAAATTTCAAAGTAGAAAGATTGAAATAGTATTCTCTTGTAAAACATACTAAAATAATCTTTGTACTGTTTATTATTTTGAAAAATAATTTTTACAGTTCACTCTTCACAGAGATGTAAGAAGAAGAACCATTTTTGGCCAGCTTTAAAAAAAAAAAAAAACCCAGCTAAAACCAGCCTAAGCCTGTTTATAGCTGGTTTGCAGACTGGTTTTAGAGGGGTTTTGACCACGTCTTTGTCTAGTCAGGCTGGGAGACCAGCTTAGGCTGTTTTTCTTTTTTTTTGCTGTTGTTGTTTCAGCAGGGAAAGAACCTTTCAGTAAACAGTTATTAAAATTGTTTTTTTTCTTAGTATGAAGAATTCATATTTAGAACTTGAGCGAGTAGTTCTATAAAAGGCCCTTTCAGTTTTGGTTCAGTCAGTTTATATGTGAGTGCATATGTGCAATACCTTGTGAGAATGCAACGCATATGTGGCCTAAATGATCTGACATATCTCATGTATAATCAAAATCATTGGTCCTCTTGTTCTGAAAGAAGACCTCATAAGACCGGTCAGCTGCACGCTCACGTACACAAATTGATATTTTCCTACTCCGACACTCTATAGCAGGGGTGCCCAAACTCGGTCCTGGAGGGCCGGTGTCCTGCAGAGTTTAGCTCCAACTTGCCTCAAGATTTTAGTATGCCTAATAAGAGCTTGATTAGCTGGTTCAGGTGTGTCTAATTGGGGTTGGAGCTAAACTCTGCAGGGTACCGGCCCTCCAGGACCGAGTTTGGGCACCCCTGCTCTATAGGATAGAAATGGTGTTCATTTTACTTTCAGCGATGTTTCTGAAGCACTTCTGGGCAGGATGACATGAAAAAGAGCAAAGGGTGAAAGAACACAGCCACCTGCATCTTTAAGCACCGGTGAGCTGCGTTCCTGTCTCGTTCCTGCTAAGTTTGGAGAATGTCAAGGGGGATTTAGTCTGATAAGAAACACTAGTGCGGAACAATACATGTTTGAGGAAGATCATATATATATTTCATCAAGAGTATTCTCTGCCGGTGCGGCCATGCCAAATTGGCCTTGTGGCAGTGTGGAGGAAGACTGGTCTCTGGTGGTGCATGCAGTGAAACTGAGTTTTCCAGCTGGAGGCCCCTCAGGTTGAGAGAAAGGCAGCCATGCTGCTATAATTGGGGCTGGTGACAGAAGGCAAGAGACAGCGTGATGCCAATTAACCCTTATCTGCGGTGTGTCCTGTCCAGTATGTGTGATAGGTAAGGGGAAGGCTTCATTGTTAAGGGCAGTGGATTTTTCCTTTATCAGGAGGCATCTAAATTGCAGGTGGTTGGCTAGTTTAAACATTGCTCTGAGCAAAATCTTGGGGTGAAACTGAGCAGATGAATTGAGCTGCATAGAAAAGTGCTCTCTGTTATTCATGAAGCTAAAGAGCCAGTAGAGATACAGAAGGATGTTGCAGGTTCTCAGTAAACGCCATCTTTCACGGTTTTAAATTGCTTCGTAGCACTGTTTGACATTTCAGTGTGATCACCATTTCTTTCCACCGTAATAATTATTTTATTCCATTTAAACCCAACCCAATCAGAATCCAACTGACTTCAAAGCACGCAAACGTTTGAGGACAAAACTGCAGCGCGAGCTCGTAATAAACAGAAGGTTGTCGTCCGTTGGTGTTCTTGGTGTGAACGGGCCTTTAGAATAGCCTACTGAAGGATTATTTTATGTAATTTACAGAACTATCTTTGGCCACACGAATGGATTGGCTGCTTCTCTTTATAATTAGGCTACTCTTCCAAACTGTCAAAATGAAACTGTAGTGTTCTTTGATATGACTGCTAACTTCACCTAATTGTCTGCACTAATTCCCTTCTGCCCCATGTACTAGAGTCATGACCTTTATTCAGGAGACTGTGTCATGTTTCTCAAAGCTGGACTCTTCCTATTGCCTCAAGAGAGTTTATGTGTGCACGTACTTAAGATTTAGGACTGAGATCCACCAAATGAAACGAAAAGCTGTTGTTTTGTTAACATTTAGAAAACTTTTTCAGCACGTTTATGTTGTTATTTTATTGTTTTGTTGTTGTAACATTTTGGCTCTGAATGAAACAAATCACTAATAAATAAGCTGTTCTTTTGATCTGGTGCTTCTGCAGACCTGAAACACCATGATGTTTACAGCTTTCAATGCTTGTGTTTTACTTGACATCCTATGTTTAACACACAATCTCAACACATTCCAATCTTGTAATCCAAATCTTGAATAACTATGTTTGAGCATAAAAAAGATCTGCACAGTTACAAAGCTCAAAGTCCAATTCAAAAGGAGATTTTTTATTCAACAGAAATCAATTTTCAAAAACTACAACGAATACCTCGTTTGGACTACAACGCATATTTTCCGGGATTTGTGATATCACAAGATATCACAAATCCCGGAAAATATGCGTTGTAGTCCAAACGAGGTATTCGTTGTAGTTTTTGAAAATTGATTTCTGTTGAATAAAAAATCTCCTTTTGAATTGGACTTTGAGCTTTGTAACTGTGCAGATCTTTTTTATGCTCAAACAGCAACATTACAGACTAACTAAAGTTGAAAAAGTGAAAAAGCATAATAGGACCCCTTTAAGCAAAGAAGAATTAAAGCAGCACTATGTAACTTTTCGACCCGACCAGGCTACAATAGTCCAAATATAAGTACTTATTATAAGTGTACCGTAGTGATTCGGAATAAAACAAAAACCCGGTTTGGAAGAGGAATTCATGATATCGCTCATATACATTTTGCAAATTTTGAACACAGAAAAAATTACATAGTGCTGCTTTAAATATCTACCCATGGGCAGAGTGTGAACCAACTGCAGGGTAAGGCTAAAAGTAGCCTAATGTTAATGTAATGTACGCTATAAACTACACGCATCATAAACCCGCCTGTTTAGAGAAGTACCTGATATGATGTCAGGAAATATTTTAATATGACTGAATTTGTATTTAAAGTGATGACAACTCAATAAAAGCATTCTAAGTTGCAAATTATTATGCTTTAATTTACATAGTTATTCAAACAGCAAGTAAATTATGGAGAGAGCGAGCAAAGAACATTCGCATTAAGAATATTATCACTGACTTCAGTCTAGCCCAGGGGTCTGCAACCTTCAACATTAAAAGAGCCATTTTGGCCCCTTTAAAATTCATGTGGAGCCACAAAACCTATTCGATCCCTAAAATGAAGATAACACAGCATATAGCTAAAGTTTTATATTCAGTTATGTTACAGGGCAGGGGTGTAGCAATCATTTCAGAAGTGAGTGGGACAGAAATGTCAAATGTAATAATAATAATAATATTTATGAATGTTTGTCTAATTGACAAAAAAAACCGTTTTCTTAAGTTATGTCTTACTTTTAACTGGCTAAGAAATAAAATACACTGCTGGACAATAACCAACAATTTATAGGCTATTCTATAATATTTTTGATACATATTTTCCTAATTACAATTTTATGATTATGATTGTTTTATATACTACGGACGCCACTGAAGGCCTAGGTGTAAAATGCACGGCCCACTACTGCTACAAACACTTTTTTTCCATTTTTATCACAGAATAAGGCTGAAAAAATATATTTTATAGCTTCTGTACTGTAGTATATGTTATTTCAGTTAGCACTGTATCATTCATATACTTATATATTGTCGCAATTGTTTATTGTCTTCACGTTTCATTAGTTATGGTTTATGCTTGTTATTCAGCTCAGCTAAAGCGACTGCTGGATGCCTTTGGATTTCCTGCACGTCAAAATGTATTACTACTTCTATAAGTCCGTTTTGGACTTCTAGCTCGAGAGCGCCCTCCGGCTTTGAATGAAACATACACTGCAGGAGAGTGTTGAGTGCTCCGTCATGTTCACAACGTTTTTGGATACGAATAAAATGTATCCAAAACGATGTGACTATCTTGTCTCTTTTAATTTGAATCTAGATTTATTCACACTGGCACTTGAAAACGTCTGTGTGAACACACTTGCCCGAAAAAAGTGCAAGGGAAGAGTTTAGGTTTTATTAAAACTCCGGGGAACACGTCTCCCGCGCATTCTATGCCCATGGCCCCATGCTACAGGGAGCCACCACAGAGGAGTGAAAAAGCCGCGGATTGCCGACCCCTGGTCTAGTAGCCAGAGATTAAGCACTCAAAAGTCCTGTTATAATCAATGTAGCTGTCCACACACTGTATGATAAATGAATTTCTTATTTATGTAATTCATTCATCTGCACTTTGTTGCTTATGATGA